GTTTGTTCACCTGCGAAAGATCAGGAATCAATTCTACTACGTGGTCTGGCACATGCGCATGCGATCGCATGCATATTATCATATTCAAAATTAATCCTGATGGCAGGTTACGTGCAGTGTGCAGCTGTGCATTGGTTTCTTTCCTTGTCTATGCAGGGTAGACTTATGCTATGTTGCGGTCAGCATTGGTCAGAAGGCTGTGCCTGGTTTGGAAACGGTACACTCTGATTTACCAACACGGAAGTGGAAAACCACCGTGTCAGTGTCCGAGGAACCTGGCCTTTCCATGGCGCCATCCCACACCACGTGTTCGGTGTTCGGAGAGGACGGTGGACCCGAACGCCTGGGAACCCCACGTCGGGACGGTCGACCGGACCCGACCGGCGAAGGCGACGCGACAAGCGGTCCTTCACGCTGGCGCTCCCGAGGTTCATGATGAACATGCGATCCCCTGGTGAACTTCGTCCGCAGAGTAGGCAGAGTAGGCTTGACTACTCAAGGATGCCATGGGCAATATATAATTAGGGATAGGAGAGAGGAGAGGGGAGAAAGCAAGGCGTGGATGTTCCGCGCTGGAGTTTAGAGTTCTGCGCAGAGTGTCAGAAGTGTTTTGTGATAGATATTGTGTGGGTGTGAGATTTCATCAGGTTCGACCTATAATCACGGATCTCAATACAATATTTTTTTTGAGCAAACATGAGCCATTTCCGGCCAAGTCCAGGTTCCAAACTATCCGCCCATGGCCGGCTTTTCGTCGAAGCTCAGAAGCACGTGTCACCTTTCCTGCCTCAAGACCTCACTCCGCATCTTCTCCGAACTCGGATCAATCTGGGCCTGTTCCAAATGAGGACAGCCTTTAACTACGATCCGTAATTGGTCAACCAGGATTCCCCTGAAACCTGATGGGATCTGAAGGGGAGGTGGTGAGGTGGTTCCGCTCGAGTTCCGTGCGAAGCTCGTGTTTTCTTGCAGCCCACGTCCTCCCCCAAACACTCCAAGCTTATGGAATACAGTGGGTTCAGAGTAGATTTTAGTAGATGGCACAAGTTACCCCCAAGTTCGGCGGTTTTATATGGACCCCCATGTGGACCCCCCATCTAAAAGATATCTGAGGGGTGCCAGTGCCATCGGACCTCTGAATTCACTGTAGTTGTATAAGCATTGTTTGACGCTAACCATTCCATCCGAGCGTCAGGGCCACCGGACGGTCTACCCAACCCCCGACCAGGTCGACCAGCCCATCTCACCTGCAGAGCCTTCACGGACAATGGTCTCGCGTGGAAAGTAAAGCCGCCTGAATCGGGGCGACTTGTTGGTGACCGTGGCAGACAGAACTTGGTTGGGAAGTGTTTTTTTCCATGTTTTTGTTCAGCAGGTTAGAGTGGAAGAAACGCACTAATTGGGAAAACATATGAGAACATGGGAGAAGAATCCTTCATGATTTTTTTCCCTTTAAGTTCAAATTACACATGAGCAAACAAAGCGCAAGGCCTGTGTCCTTGATGAGATGCTGCTTGTACTCATGGAATTTGCACCAGTTATTTAGTAGTCTATATATATATATATAAAGTAGTCTCATCCTGGTGTGCCAGTTGGGTAAAACAGCATGTCACACATTCTCACCAACCCCCAAACATCCCGAAACCTTTGGCCACTTCGACACCACAAAGCGTAATATGTCCTTCAGACTTCCTTCAGTAACCCGTGTTGCCACCCCTACGTTCTTCCTCGTTCTTTGTTGTTTTAACGGCTAACGGTGCCACCCCCGGTGGGTGAGCGGCCCAAAACAGGATGAGGCCGCGTGGCACACCCCTTTTCAACTGGCGTAAAGGGAGAAGCGGTGTACAGCGGTTGGATGACTTCTCACTTCCCCATCCATGTCGTTCATCCATGTGTCGTCCCTGTCCCACCGAGCTCCGAAGAGCTCCATGTCGTCCCGCCTCTCACAGTTGACCCCGACCAAGGTCCGGAACTGCGGGCTGAAGTCCGCGAAGAGCTGAGCCGGCGGCAAGGCGGTCGGAGACGGTGGAAGAACGAAGAGTGGGAAGAGTGGGCACCAAACGAAAAGGAGACGGACGGGACAGGCGAGACCTCATAGCTGTCTGAAACTTTCTAAAAAAGTTGAAGGATGTTGAAGGGACATCTGAATCTGTGGGTGATTCTTTTATACATTGTCAAGTGCAAGAAGGGTGGGTCTATTCCGTTTGGAGCCGGTGCTGGTAATCCCAAGCACCGGATCTTTGTTGGAGAACCCGGTCATTCTAGTGCCCAAGCTGCTCCGTAAACGTACACGTACACCTGGCAGAATTCATGAATCTATATATATATATATACGGTACCCCCCCAAATGTCTACCTTTTTTATATATAGTATATTATATCTTCTCAAATTACTAATTGAATTGGATGTTGCCTCCATGCTTGTCCTAGACCTCTTATGCCGTTTTGTCAGTGCGACCTTCACCTTCGGCATCTCCAGCATCAGGTGGCGTGTCCCAATTGGCAAACAAACCATATATAATTCACAGATGAAAAATGATGAAAAGAGACATCTCCAGAACATCTGAACGCCTCTGCTATCATGTAAACAGCGTTGTGGAATGATCCAATATGGTCTAGTCTAATCATGAATCCATCTGTACACAAACAAACACACCAGTCACCGCCTTCGCGCGCAAAAAGCCAACCCGCCCAAGCCTTATGATGGATCACCCTTGGGGCTGCCAATTTGTCCAAATGTTCCTGGGACAGAACAAACAAGAACTGCCGCAACAGGAGCTGCTTGGAGCTGCGACGAAACCACAAGGAGCTGCTTGGAGCTTGGTTCTGAGCACCTCGTCCATTTGACCCCGACAGTGTATCTGTGTGCTTGGCATGCTCGTCCATTTGACTTGTGATCCTGACCATATCATGGTGTTTGTCTTGGGTTCTTGATCAAAGCCTGAATTGTTTGCATGGAAGATTTGCCAGTCAAGGCCCAGCATTATCGGACAACAATGAACCTCTAGTCCAAGGAATCAAAGTAGGATTTTGGTTCTATGATGCTACTTTCCAGGGGTCTATCTATTTGGAGCCACCAAAAAAGAATCACATGGACAATCATGGACATGCACTCACCAAACAAATAATCCTTCTTCTCGCACCCGGTCCGCTTCTTCGCTTGGCTTGGACTGTTCTGCTTGTCTCGCCTCCACCAGCTTCATGAAGTTGGCTCGCTCCACCGGATGCCTGCGACCGCGCCGATCGCCAGTGCCAGCGCCGCCCAGGGCTCCAGCACGCCGAAAGCGCGGCGCCGATCGTCAGGTCCACAAACGATGCACTGCGATCAAAAGACCAACGGTTCGGCTGATTGATTGGTTCAGGTGGAAGAAAAGCATCTATGGAATCCGTCCCAATGAAAACCAGCTGTCCCCACAGAGTTCAATCTTATTCTTGGCATGCCCAGTGGCACTACGGCGGTCGGAAACGACCGTAGTCCTGATGTGTGTGTGTGCGTGTGTGTTTGCACGTCATCGTGTCTGAAAAAAATGCTTCGATTTCAATCACCGCCACACCGCTATGGTTCTGGAAGGAACTAATCACACCGTCTCCAAACGGAATCAAAGAGCGGTTCAAACGGTCTCCAAACGGTTTTATTACACACAGATTAGACACAACAGCTATTCAATCTTGTCTCCAGTTTCGGAATCAAACCGTCACTATCCGTCACTGCAAACCGTCACTGGTCTCTCACCTGCAAGACGGATTCGTTCTCCCAGGCCTGTTCAAAATCCCCAGAATCTTCTCATGCTCCACCTGCAGCAAAGCTCGTGTTCCAGTGTCCCCCCAGTCCCCATCTGCGTCTGTAGGCTTGAAGGATCCATAGTAGATAGCGCTTACATACGCTTCCTATGATCTCGTTTAAGACAATGTAAAAACAGGATGTCTGGTCCGTCTGGTCGGCTGCACAGGCATTTGTGCGCACTTCGACGACAGCATCCAGGACCACTGCGATCCACAGCGACCTCTTTCGGCGCAAGAAGCGAGCGAGTCGGTGGATTTGGAGATGCTGAGCTTTGCAGTCATCTCTCGAATCTACTGGTCCGCCGATCCCTCGGCCGACTGGGCCGGCGCGGCCCCTCTCAGCCACCGGGCACGGCGCCGTTGGGACGCCTGGAGGCCGTGGCCCACCGGTCGCCGAGGTGTACAGAAGAAGGTTTGGTTGAACACTTTCGGCTTGTTGGTAGTGTTGCTTGTTGGATCAACTTGGTCATCTCTTCGAGCTTGTGCGGAGCTGATGAACCCGAGTCGGTTTGGAGTGACACGGGGTGACACGGGCCTAGCACCTGTCCACACTGGAACAAATCCAGTCTAGAATTCATTGCAAGCTTCGGTGGCTTTGGGCGCTAAGTCTTTCTCTGCTACTCGACTCTCCAGTTCCGGGGCTTTCATCCGCGTTCACCGCTTTCATCGTATCGGCCGTCTTGCTGAGCTTCCCACTTGGAGGCCTGGCAGCATTCATCACCCGACATCCGAACGGACCTCTCCAGGTCGAGTAGGCATGGGGTCCACAGAATCACCGGCTGGCATGTGGTTGAAGAAGACTGCCAGGAAAAAACCACTTGGAACAGGGTCGTGTGGGGTATCTTGCCTTCAGATTTCTTCAACTTATAACATAATAGGACCAATAGGAAGACAACTGAGAATCCGGTGTTCGGACGAGCCAACAACTCCCTACAAAGGGGCTACTCCCTTTGCCCACAAGATGCCCGACATCTGGCATCCGATGAGATAGAACTTCCGCCTTCTTCTGAACATCTTGTAACATCTTGGATTCTACTGCTGAACACTATGTTTTGTTCATTCATGTGTCTGTTTGTAATCTTGATCCCGACTTACGCCTGGTACGAGTTATGGCGCCAAACGTAAGCTTGCAGACCTACAGGCTAAGTCGCTCCCGATCCCTGTAAAAAAACGAAAGGAACACACACACACACACACTTAAAAAAGAACAAGTCTAACTCACGTCACCTCCCGAATCCGTTCGCCCTTCTTCCCCGCTTCATTCGCGCCCGCGTTCGCCGCCGCCTGGAGGCCGTGCTTCTGCGGTGCCCGGCGATCGCCCTCGAGGATCACCAGAATGGGATCACGGTAGCTGGAGGGCCTCGTTGGAAACGGTCGTGGTGGGATGGCGATCCGGTCGCTGCAAAAAGCGGGGGTGACGTTGACTGTATTTGACCCTATGATAGCGTACAGTGCATTATATTATGCTATGCTATGCTATGCTATGCTATGCTATATGTTATGTTATGTTGTGTTTTGTTATGCATCTTACTCTTACTATATATATATAGTGTACTGTATTATAGTATATTTTACAAAATAACATTACCTTCAAAACTGCCCCCCCCGTCTTAATTCCGAAGAAACAAGTGGACTTCATTGGTAGAATATTGTTAAGTGTAATTGATACAGCAATTCCTTAGTACTTCTTGAATTTTGGATCTCAGAGTCAGCTGCTCTTCCTGAGCTTTCCGACACCAGCTCCGAGAAGAGGGCGATCTTCATCAAAGCCATCAAGGGTACGCTGAGCCTTGGCGTTGGTGAGACAAACCCATGACAAACCCAGTGATGGTACAAACACATCGAGGTCTGGAAGACCCATTGGTCCGTTATAAACAGGTTACAGTTAGTTTGCCAACTTCCATGTGAGTGAGTCAGTGATGCAACTATAAAGATCCGAAACGTCCAGTTGCATGTGGCTGCCTGTTTGGCTGATTTCTGCCGCCCAGCAGTGGGTCATCAGGACTAAGGAGCTCTTGAGAGGGATAGCATTCAGCTGAAACTATTGGTTGGCCAAGCAATCTTCGGGAAGGCAGGGGCAAAGACTCTGAATTCTCTCCTCATAGGATCTCATGACATCAATCAACAGATTTGGCATGATCTTGCTTGACTCTCTGCCCAGTCAAAAAAATGGTGATGCTTCCTCTACTCAGATCGTGATCGCTTGACACGCTTGTGTCATCCTGCAAGACCTCTATCAGATCTGTGCCCTAAGCATCCACCCCAGTGGAAAACAAAGGTCGTTCCTATAACCACCTTTCTTTGGAAGGTATCACAACCTTCTGATTTGCAGCTTTTTCCGCAAGCTAGTGGTGCTTGGCAAGTTTGGCAGCCACGGAAGCGTTGAACCTTGGCTCCACACCACATAGAGCATGTCAAGAACCCAGCTGGCAAGGGACACATGCAGCAAGGAAACTTCTTGATCTTGGTATGAGTAGACCAAATCCTGAGTAAGTGCAATGGATTAAAATGAAAGGGCAGCAAGTGGACACACATCACATTCAAGATGCATGCATGCAGAACAAAATCTTTTTGCATTCTGCTTCAAAGGCACCGTAGGCGTGAGCAGCGCATGATCCATTTCGATCTTCCAGAAGCGTGCGCTTTGAACCACGTTTCTCAGGAGACCAGTGCACAAAACCAATGTCAACACATAAATGGCAAGATCAGCCAGCGTATAACAGCAAAAAATTCAGAAACTGATCAGACAATTGTGCACATAGTAGATGGGGCCTAGGCACTTTTCATCCATTGCATGCCATCCTCATCTCGGAATCCATGATGGTACTTGACGTTGCAGCCTTAAGTTGGGCAAAAGGGGGATGGCGAGATGGGAAGCGGAAGTGGGGCAATAAATTTTGGAACGGTTTGGTTTGCATCGCTAATATGGCTTGGTAGCAGGTTTCCATCCCATGCAAAGACAATGCATGCATGCATGGTTTACGTTTTGCTAATTGGACCAGGCTCAGTTCTTTTTGATAGACTGTAGGAGATGCCACAGTGCCTGAAAGCACTAATAGTTGCACTGTTCCTTCCCAAGATTCATCAAGCGCAGCCAAAGAGTTGAGGGCATGCACACTAAATCGATGAAACACTAGGAATTAGAACCGAGGGGCGTGACACTTTGGTCGGACCAACCACTCCAAATGTCCAAGCCTAGCAGGGGACCAGCATGCACGCACTTAGGAATTCTGTTAATTGCGCAACTTCAAATCCTTGGTCTCATTATTGTGTGCTTTGTGTGTCCCACTGTCCCACCCAGAGCTAATATACCATACCATGCATGCACCAGCCTCAAAGATTGCACGGTCAAGATCGAATAAATATCCAAGAACCGCCGGCCATCTTGGAAGATAGAATCAGCTTTCGCCTGTGTCCTAGCGGGATGCAATGCAGTGCATTGCTCTCACCAACCTTGTGTAGGGTGAATGAACCCCCTATCAGGAGAACATGCATGCATGCATATTGCAGTAAAGGTTCAAATAGCGGCCAGATTCCTCAAGTTGGCCAAGAAACCGGGCCAAATGTTTCCTGGGCAGGTGAAACATTCGTGGGTCACACATGGTCACACTGTTTGCTGTGCAGTGCCATGCACACACTCTTGCATGCGCGTGCGTCATTGCATGCATGCGTGCGAGCCACATGGCACACTAAAGCTGGCTGAGTTTCATTGCTAGAGCGATCAGGGGGAAGCGAGAGTCAAATGAAGCGAACTGGTCATTCTGACTGGCTTCAAAGACCACATCTGTCAGCCACCCAAAAACTGCCCGGCCATTATAGGCCTTGAGGGTGAATAATATGTCTCCATTCTTCTTGAAGATCTTAGCTCCGCAGGTCGATTGAGGGGGTGAACTTGAAGACCAAGCTATTAAATCCATACTGGCCTGATTCCATTCAAAAATATACCACAAAGCTACCAATTCTGATCTAGGCACCATTTTTGGCTTGAACATTGGCTGTGAACAATACACCCGATTGTTCCTGCACCAGCTCTTAAAAGCCACATGCGCTCGGGAAAGCTTGACATCCACTTTCACGTTGGCCTCATTGCCAAACCAGCCACATCGCAGCAGTAGATTCCTCAGTTGAGGAGTTTGGTATGACAATGTGATTAATTTATACTATAGCGCTATACTATGTAGCTTCCTTGGCAGTAGCGATACCAGGTCACATCTCCGAGATCAATGACCTACTCTGCCAATCAAATGCAAAGAGAATCAAACAATTGTCTTAGCTATTAGATTAGCCCGTGTTCATTAGTGCCATTGAGGTGCATAGCTGAGCCATTGACCACATAAAGGATGGTCTCAAATCCTGTGATGCCAATCAGGGGGCCTGGGCGTTTGCAACTGGGCAAGTCACTGAAACCAGGGCCAGCAATGAGCTAGCGTGCAGAAATTTGTAGATGTTTGGAACATGAACAGCCCAAACAAAACTCAAATAACAATGATTGCTATGGCCAATGCAAAGGTCAAATCCCACTTGGTGGCATCCTGTGGGCCAAGTACTCTTGAAGAGTAAAAGATGTATCCCAGTTGTTGTCGTGGTAATTCCAATACAAGTCTTTCGGGTCAGCGCTAGAGCTCTTGGCGTTGCACATGTGACAAACCGAGATTGAATTCCAGGATGTTCTCTCCCAGCGAAATATCTTCTTGAGCCAACTCCAATCACCCCTTATCTCTGTCAAGGCATACTTTCGAGAGAAGGGCTGCACTGACAAAGCTCGAAGAGAAGGGGAGGTCAATCTCTCGCCATACGCGCCCACTGTGGGGTGGGTCCCCTGGATCAAGCACTCAAAGGACCAGGAAATCCTCCTGAGGACCTTGTTCAATGTGTGGTAACCCCAAAGTTTTTCTTCTGGAATAGCGAATAGCAAGAAGCGGCTGTGCCGTATACTGGGTGGGGTCCACAAGATCAGGTTGGCAAAAATGCCTATCAATGACTCGGATCCAAAGGCAGTGCGCATCGTGGCACCGTCCCCAAACAATCCAACAGGCAAAGTTGACGGATCTACGTTCTGTGCCCAGCGTTCTCCATGTATACGATTGTGATCCCAATACTTCCGAACAGCAAACTCTGGTATTTGCAGTTTGCATGTGTCCACCAAATAGTGCATAATCGAATGCACGTCTAGGATTGGCCAATCCTCCATCCGAAACTTGTCCTGCCCATCCTGAAGATCTTGATATTTGATGGGAAGTCGAATGTACTGGATTACCTGGGGCACATGTCAACATCCCTTCCCGCACAAAATATGCGCGCGCACTGTGCATGAATTCAATACAGTCACCCTGCACGGCTGATTAACTGTGAGCGAGAGCCAGGTCAGTATGGCAGGAAAAAGAGCAAGCACAAAGCAAATTAACAGTGAACCACATGCGCAAATTATATACACACTCTTTGGCCATCTTGCAATGAAGCGTCTGGTCCGTCTTTGGCAAGGTTCCGCCACCAATCTCTGGAAGCATTTCGATGTTTGCCAATGATACCAAGGCGACGTGTCATCGGGTTCATGCATAAGCCTTTGCTGTCCTGCGAAGTTCTGCTGATCACAGGCACGTGGAGGCCAAAGGGTACGGATGTGTCACACCACGAGCGATAGGATCTCGCGATTTATCCCACCAATGTATGTCAAAAAGCACATGCACACATGCATGCAGGCATACGTAGGTGCTGCACAACTTATATTCTTTAAAAAAAACTATAATGAATGCTTCACACTGCACCTCCCCACATGTTGTAAATTAATGAAATAGTGCCACACTGATGCTTTCTTGGTCGTGTGTGCGTGTGCATGCATGGATCCCTAAAAGTGTTTTTTCTAAAAGCCCAGATCTTATATCCCTTTTTGTTGTCTCATCCAGTCATATCCATTTCCCCTTTTCCACGTGCCCAGGCACCTGCACATGGTCCTTTAGATGCCGCATTGCTTTGCCAGCGGTTGCAGCCTCAAAGGATTTCCGGAAGGGTGGGTGGCACTTCACCATGCATGCTAAGAAAGGTCGACCAAGACAAGGTTCTATATATATATATATATTTATAAGTTTGCAGGTAGCCCTTTATAAAGATCGAAGATCAGACTGTCTAGCACTCACAAGTGCAGCCGGGTGGCTCCAGAACTCACATCATGAACTGCAGTTTCGAGGACCCTCGAAATGATAGGATCGCCATCATCAACTGCGGTGGGTCGGCCACAGTAAAAAAAGGTTGTGTTGGGGCTTTGGGGTCATGAGAAGTACATGCGATTCCAGGTTTGTACCATGGGATCTGAACTAGAGATTGGATGCATGCTGACTCGACCTGGAATTGTGGAATACTTTTTTCACGGCCCCTCCGCTCGGATTGCACCATTGCCGTGTGCGAGCTGAGACTGTACCTGCTTGACCTGTTCATACCCTGGGGGGCCTTCACAACTTTGATCTGAATGACGACCCATTCACAAGAAAGAGCACATGAGATGGGCCATGGAGACTGCATGAAACACATATGGACAATATATGCGCGCATAGGAAACTTCTATGTGAGGCATCCTTCGAACAGGGTCAGGTGCCACTAACACAGCTTCGCACCAGCTAGGTCAAAGAGATTTAGGCAGGTCATCCAATCTATTTTAGATTGACCCGCTTCAAAAAGCCATCGTAATCGTTCTCAAGCTTCTTCGATGACTCGATGCACTTGGTAAGCTCTTCACCAACCTGAGTTGCAACGGTGATGTTGCAGAGCTGACTTCTAGTTCAACACGTACCATGT